ATATTATTACTTGATTTTTAGATTATAATCAAAGCTTGTAAAGAATGGATAATATTGTGGAAAAGTTAGAAATATAAGCTTGCCAGTGATACATACACTTTGTTTTGTAATATGGCAAGTAATGAGGGATTAGATCAGAGTTAGATTTAGCTGAGGTAATACCAGATTTTTAACTTCTCTTTTTATAGTTCTTAAATAAATTCATAATTTTCTGTACTACTTCTAGCAATATGTGGACTTTAAAAAATGCGGGAAATGTAATGATCAGAAAAATATGTGCATCAAATTCTGAAAAATAAAATAATGTTTAAAATTCTCCTTCTATAGTTCTCAAATTACTTGAGGAAAATGTGTTAACTTGGTTCATATTTTATACCGTGAATTTTTCCTTATTAATGCTGTTATTAAACCCTACAGTATATATATTATTAAGGAGCTTCCCAATGTCTCCATTACCATTTTTAATTACCTTTTTCTTTTTTTTATTTGTGGACAAAAAAATTCTCCTTTTATGTAGTATTTTAGCACTGAAAATGATTGAGGAAAATGAGGCATAGCATGAGTAAAGAAGAACATACGATATACTGAGCTTTTGGTGGATAGTTTACAGCTACATGTACAGATGTTATCATGGCTACACTGATTTTATTTTTTTTTCTCAGTTACTTCCCAGTAAGTTGTTAGTCCAGCTACTTAAGAACCAGTGCCAGTATGGTAACAAAATGCTAACAAATGTTATTTTTTTTCCTGTTATGTCCTGAATTCTTGTTCCAGACATACTGGAAAAGAGTGGAATTTACCTTGTCCTAATTAGTGATGCATCAAAATTGTTCATCAGATGTGTTCTTAGACAAGAATTTGTGAGTGCACATATTGGTTTTGATACATTGATTTAACATTCTGTAAAATACACAAATAATCACAATGACAATTTATTCAAAATACTTTGCCATTTGCATGTCCTAAATTTTAGTGAATTGTTTACCTAGAATGATTATTTCCAGTGTAAATTATCACAAAGCATTTAAATGCCACTAATTTTAATGAGAAATAAGCGTGCTGGCATAATAGTGAATATATGAACCAATGACTATGTGACTGAACTAGCTTACTGATTTTCAGTGTGACAATACAGTTTAAATCCTTCTTACTATTCTCAGCATGGAAATCAGAATCTATTCTGCTAACCTTCTGAGCTTCTAAATTTGGTGTCATGCAAGGGCATGTTTAAAAATTAGCATTTAAAAAGAAACCCACTTGCTTTAAGTTTAAGCTGACACTGTTCCTTTCCTCTGTGGAAATGAAATTTATTAATCATAATAAAACCATCATATTCTGAAGGTAGAGGTCACCCTGAGGAGAAAAAAAAGTCTATTCATCACAGAGGAATTTCAATGCATTTTTTTCCCAGATAATATCTGAGCATGTATTTGCTCCCCTTTGGAAATATATTCTTCCATGTTTGTGCTTACATATGTCAAGTGTATTTAGGAGGGTGCAAGAATAAGAATTTTGCAATTTAATTTTATATACTTTATTTTCTTTTACAGAAGATTTGGAAGAATGCTTTTTACATTTTGTTTTATATTGCACACATTTGTTCAAGTGGAATTTCAATATCCTGTAAAAGAAAAGGAAGAAGCGTTTCTTATTTTAACAAGAATATAAGCATTGCTAATTCTGAAATATCATTTTTATGTTAATATCACAGTACAAACTTCAGCATTATCATAATATAAATGTAAAACATTCTTTTTAAGGAGCAAGGATTAACTTAGGTCACAGTTTTCACATTAGGATTACTTCACAACTCTCATTTTAAGGAAGAAACATAATCTACACAGGATGAAAAAAGTAATGTGAAGGACTGACAACAGGTTATTACTACTTTAGCAAAAGAGTAATAAAAATGTACTCAGAAGTAAATACTGCGTTGAAACAGTAATTTTTTAATTTCTTTTGAAATTGCTTAGTGTGTTTGTTTTTCCGTATTTTCCTTAGTTGTCCAGATTTCTGGAAAATAATGATATAATACTATTAGCAACGTGTTTTATTACATTAATGTTGTAAACTTGCTAGTTACTTCAGTAGCTGGGTTAAATATACTAATAATGTAATAAAGCCTCAGCACTATATATTTGGGCTTGTTCCTCCCTTATGAGTGGCCCTTGCCTTTAGGCCACTTATTACCCTGCCGTGGGTGACCCATTAGACTTTCAGTTTTGTGGGACACTGTGGGGTAGTCAAGGATCCTGCAGGAATGGGACGCAGTATGGAGTCAAAATGCAGCCCTACCTCAGGAGACGGATCAGAGCAGTGGAAACAAAACTCGCAAAGTCCCAGTGTAGTTAATGGTTTACACTAGACCAAAATTAATATAATTCTTACAGATTTAAATTTACTGTGCTTGCTCAGTATTGCAGTAATACCAGTTAATCAGAAAAATACATTTGAAAATATACTGATTCCCATTGCTTTAAAAAATGATATCCATGACATTAAAGTGTGTATAATAATAGTACATGCAATTCCTCTTCCATGTTACTAGGGACATGAGGGAAATTTTTAGTGCTGGAAACAAGTCTAGCTTTAATTTAATCGTTTTCCCTTTCTAGATGTTTTCTTACTGTTTGAATGAGCCTTTGCTTGAGAGAATTAAAATTATAATCATGTTTAAAGTGGATTCTCAGACTTTAAAAGTGGGCATACAGAGGAAAATAAGACGTCTTCTTCATTTCAGTGTAGATGAACAAGACATAAGAGGTTCTGTTATGGCTACTATCAGAGCTAAGTATTTTAAAATCTCTAAATATTGTAATGTTTGCATCCTAATGCAGAGGGTTACCGAGGCTGAGGTTTGTGGAAGTTCTTCCAACCAAAGAGGCTCCAGAGTATGGGGTCAGTGTCAAACCTGCTTGAAGAGTTCTTATGTCCCCTTTCCAACTCAAAGGATCACCAAGTGTCATTTACCCAACATAGGCTGATGTGAGCTATTTTTCCTTCCATTTTTTTCAGTGGGATCTGCCTGATTTCTTTGTTGTTAACTGCCTTGGATAATTTCCAAAGATAGGTATTCATGGATACCAAGTATTTAAATGGAATTGATATATAAATTTAATCCTTCACTCATCAATATATTGGATGCAAAAGAGGAACGAATATCTTTTATACAAGTCTTTTACACATATTTTCCTGAGTTTAAGACCATGTCTTAAAGAAAGTGATTGCCCAACAACACTGCTTCCCCTGGATATTCATATATATCTTTGACAGCTATGAGGACTTCTCTGCCCAAATCTAAAGTAAACAGCTGTGGGGTAAGCTATAGAGCCCACGTTCATCATGAACTTGTAGTACTTTGATAGCTTTAATAGATTAACTCCTTTTTAACGTATTATCCCTTAACAGAAAGTTGAATTTACTAAGTAAACAAGACAGTACAACTGAAGGCATTCAGCTGCTATGGTTGTACTTTGTAGTTAAACATCCAGATTTTGCCATAGAATACTTTGTAAGAACATACGTACACTGCACATTTGCTCAAAATGCCAGACTCCGTTGCTGGAAAAAAATGGCTTATTCACAATACTGAATATCAACCAATGTTTGATAGTAAGTAAACTTTGAAGTTTGTACCTACTGAACATTCTTCTACTTTTTTTCATCAAGATGTGTTGAAAAAGGTAAAGCATGTAACTTCTGCAAATCTATGACCCTAGGCTTGGTCAGAGAGTAAGAGACATTTTGTAAAGTCTCTGCCTTTTCAGTGCTGAATCCTTTTACCTTTAGATAACACAGTTGTCCCAGGAGGTGGTTTACTGGGATTTCCACGTGCAATGAATCCCTCCTATTCTTGCAAATGTTGGCTCAGTGAAATGGAGAATTAAAGACTATCTTGTCTATGGTCATTTCTGCTCCTTCCGTGAAGATGTCACTGGGTAGATAGGAATGCCTAGTTCAGATAATTTGGGCCTCTACCTCACATCCAGGACCCACAGTAGTGGGTGGCAGAGGATTTCGTATGCCATGGAAACATTTCTTTCTCAGCTTTCCCTCAGCTGATTATCTAGGAATCGGCTAATCAGATTCCACTTGTGGAGGAGCGAGTACGTGATAATAAAATAGGACAACTGTCCTCTTTTCAAAGAAAAGTAAGTTTGTATTTCCATCTGAAAAATAAGGTAGTTAAGCAGAATGAGACCAATCTGGGTTACTGTTCACATAAGGCTAAAAAATGATGATTTTTTTTTGAAAGATATCAAGAGTAAATTATTAAAACTCCATTAGCCCTTGTATGCAAGACACCACTATAATTTCAAGATTGCTTTTGTTGTTATATGTGACACCTGAGATCAAATGGGGATTCTTTGGTTATGGAAAAAAACATTAGACACATGCAGTGAAACCTGTATCTAGTTGACATGTCCATCTTACTAATGGTAGCTGCATTCAGACTCAAACTGTGTAGCAAAGCTGTGTCTTGCAAGGTGAAGAGGAGGACTGGGCCAGCAAATTGACCAGGTGTATATGTAAAGCAGCTTTGAAGTAGTTTCAACTGTAAGGAATTTGTGTGGGGAGAAATGACAAAAATCTGATTTTCACATCACTGTCTTTGCCTGGTTTTAGCAGGAACTTGGCCTGAAAATTGAGACCTCAGCTGTGCAAGTATCATGGCTTAGGATGACGCTCTCTCTTCTATAGAAAGACCAGGAATGTGCAATAAGCATATTCCTTAAAATCAAGTGCCTGCCATTGTTCTTCAGCCACTCTCCTTAGCCTGATGCTGATTCTTAATAGTCCAGTAAAGCTAATTATACATTTATTGTCATTGTCATTAACATTTCCCAAAGGATATTGCTTTTAAAACTGCAAAGTAAGTTTATTTGTAATGAATTTGGATAGAATGGAATATTTCATTACAACCATTTTGTTAATATTGGTAATACCTGGGTTTAACTTTTTTTTTTTTCCGTTAATCTTCAACTTTATTTTCTTTTCAG